CAAAGATGGCCTACTAAGCAGGTAAATCAGGGAGATCAAGCTGTCGAGAAACAAATAAATTCGCGAAGAGAGAAAAATAATACAGAGAAAACAAAAAGTAAAAAGAGAAAGGATTTGTTATCAAATAATGTGGTAAATGATGCAGTTGAGGAACGTTTAGAACCCCCAGGCAATGACGTAATCCTTATCGAAAATGATGCAGATGATGCAAATAATACGTCTCGAGCGGAAACACAAATCAATAACACTTTTAACAATAACAATGAATCCCGAGTAACTGCTGGACGCAGTAGCTTTTGGGGTAAATCTTAGGACATAATATTTTTTCATATAAAACGCTAAAGGTTTTTATTTTGGAACAGCACGTCGGAAAGTCTGGACTATAGATGAGCTGCTGGCTGAAACAACTGCTATTGAGCCTACCGCAGCCAGAAATATTGTTCAACTGTTCGAAAAAGAAAATACTATACCTTTTATATGCCGTTATCGTCGCGACTTGATAAACCATTTAGAACCGGAACGATTAAGAGAAATCAAAAGTACATACATGGAAATTGTCAATTTGCGCAAAAAGGCCGAAACAATTGTTAGTCAGTTGGCAAAAGAAAATACAATTAACGAAGAAATACGCACGGAAATGTTATGCGCCAAAACACCTGAAGAATTAGAGTTCTTGGTAAACTTGAGTTTCAACGGAAGTAGTTTGCAAATAATAATGAAGATTTCATCATTCTATAGTTTGCTCCTTATAAACCGGCTAGCAAAGGCTCATTGGCCGAAAGAGCTAAAGCTTTAGGGTTAGAACAATTTGCTGATCGCCTGCTTTACGGTGATCCCCCAGAAGTCATTTTGAAACAATTGGTAAATTCAAAAATTCCCGAAATGGATGATGAAGAGAAAGTCTTGACTGGCATATGTCATATTATCTCCCATAATATAAGCAAACACACTGGCGTTCTAGAAGAATTAAGAAAACTGTAGGTTTTTGCGATTTTTGATATTAATCAATTTTAGTTCTTTTAATTCTACATTGCTTATAATATAGACAACATTGTCACCGTATTACTTTGAAGTCCAGCAAAACTAAACAATCAAGTAAAGAGAAGAATGATAAAACTACTTCAGCTTCTACGTCCGATTCTGATTACCAAAAGGCCGGTCATAATAATAAAAATGACGAATCTAAATACGAACATTATTTTGAGTTCCAAGCTGATGTTCGTCAATTAAAGCCACATCAAGTGTTGGCCATAAATCGTGCAGAGAAGCTGAAATTTCTTACGGTTAAGCTGTTAATAGCAGACTATTTGAAAAATGATATTAAACGTTACGTGAGATCAATATTCATGGCAGATGGCCTGCAATATCCATTGCGCACTCAGGTGTTTGAACGTGCCTTTGAAGAATGTTATCAAAAAAAATGTAAGTTGAGAAAATTGAATAATTTTTTTTTGCATTTATGCACATATCTGAAACAGATTCTTACGTTTAATTTTTAACATAGTTAAAAAAATACCGGAATAAATCTCGCTAATAAAATTTTGCAAAGACTTGCAGAAAGTATATCTTTCGCCGGAGATATAATTAAGACCGTTTTGTTTTTTTTGATTTGATTTTTTCGAATTTTCCAATGAAATTGTGCATGGATCGAAAACATTATATAGATTTCTTTATGTATTTTTCTGGATCTTGCTCGAAGTATTGTTTATCAAATTATTAAATGCCCTTTTGCAACTTGATTTCAGTGCAACCATTACTATGTCGTCAGATACGTTCAGATTTAAACGAAAAGGCGAAAAAAGCTTCCATTGATGTTTTCGGTAAAAATCTGAAACAATTACTTTTAATGTCGCCATTAAAGGGCGAACGTATTCTGGGTATTGATCCGGGTTTTACCAATGGCTGCAAATATGCTTTAATTTCGGAAACAGCCGATGTTTTAGAAACTGGGGTTTTATATCCACACCGTCGCAATACAGATCCCGAAGAAATTGGCGAACAACTAGCAAAAATTTTATTACGGCACAAGTACAAATTTAAAACATTTACAACTATATGTAACCATTCGTTGCATCTTATAAATTATTCTTTGATTGTATACTTTAGATGCAAATTGATAGCTTTGGGTAACGGTACAGCTTGTCGTGAAACGGAATTTTGGCTATCAAAATTGTTTGAAATAGGAATTTTGGACGACGAAGAAGTACGCTATAGTATAGTATCAGAACAGGGAGCTTCTATTTATTCGTGCAGCGATATAGCAAGAAAAGAGTTTCCGAGAATGGATACGAATCACATTAGTGCTGGTAAATAATTGAAAGCTTGATTTAATACCACACTCATTGATATATATAGATGTATATTTTATGTCAATTAATAGTATCCATTGCACGCCGTTTGAATGATCCTCTCAGCGAATATGTAAAAATTGAACCACGCCATATTGGTGTAGGCATGTATCAACACGATATCGGCGAGAAACTTTTGAACGAAACGCTAAGTGAAGTGGTCTCGGAATGCGTTAGTTATGTAGGCGTGGACATTAATACAGCCAGTTTAAGTGTTCTGAAGTGAGTTTGTATATGTTAACAGTCTACTGTAATTATACCCTACACTTGTAATAGAGGCCAAGCTAAGCTTGTGAGAATGGAAATGCCAAAGGGCTTTATATATATGTTTCCCGTTTATTAATGCAGTCTGTTGATGCAGAATCATCTTCGAACTCGAGTTAAACTTGTCTGTCCGTCTAAGGTGTTTCCATGTAACTACAGACAGCGATTGCTAAGACAATTTGAAAAGTTATTGCGTGAAAAAAACCGCAATCTTCCAAATTTCTCACTACGGTGAGAACTCAACGGAGTGATAATACTGTAGCTGAGTAAAAGTCCGTCAAAAAATTAATTTGGTACGTGCCGACATGAAGCGGTGTAGGTTAATTACTGATAAGCTAAGACGTACTATCATATATTTACTTGTTTTAATTATTTAATTTCGTTCTCGTGCAGACATATTGCTGGCTTAACAGAGAAAAAAGCTGATAAAATTATAGAACATCGTTTAGAAAATGGTCCGTTTCGTACCCGTAAAGATCTTTTAAGTGTTAAATCGATTGGTGAAAAAACTTTTGTACAATGCGCTGGGTAAGCTAAGACAAAACTTTTTGAGTGAACAATTTTTAATCCATATCCCTTCCTCGCAGCTTTATACGCATTGATCCGCGCAGCTTAGGTGGTTCTATAGATAATCTTTTGGATTGCACTTGGGTTCACCCTGAAAGTTACATTATAGCAAAAAAGTAAGTGAAATCATTCGAGTATCACAATTTTTAAGAGGACGTAGCCATTGACTATATTTTAAGATCGAATCAAGAAATTTAAAGCGCGTAACGGAAAGTATCTTTATAAGACCAAGTTTTTAATACAAATGAAGCTTAGTACAAGATTCTATTTCGCTTTCCCATTACTGAAACGTTTACTTCGATTTACTTCGAACTGTGTAAAGTGTGCTCTATTTGCAGTTTCTTTCTTTATGTTTGCCTGATATAAAGGGATTCATGTTCACTGTTCACGCATTTAGATGGCCGCAGCATACCGCTACTGTTCGGGCGCTTGTTCCCTATAACAACAAAGATTCTTTTTATTGTACACTTTAAAAGGCACACAATGTTGCATACTATTCCCAATAGTGAATGCACTAAGGGTATTAGCAAAGGAAGGACAGTTAATATTATTATAGCACCATCGCAAGCTTTCTTTTTTCAATTACTTCAAGCTATAAGAAAAATTCAAAAATCTTAAATGCCGTACTTGCTAAAGGTAAGCTGTTCTTTCTCGGATCACAAGTTTAATTTTATCAATAACTTTTTTTTTCATTTTGGATCGAAAGCAAAGTTTTTCAATCCATATTCGTTTCGGTAGAGTGAAAGGGAATTTTACAGTTACTTGCCTCCACGGTCGGACTAAAAACCATTATTTCAAATTATCATTTAATAGGCGGTCAATTTTTCTGATCGTAAAGTTTGTGCTTTCGAAATGCAATAAAGCGGAAATATTTATTTTTTCCTTTGTTGATTAATTACCAAACTATCAAATATTGCTGATCGTAATTTGATTGGAAATATATTTTCCACTAAACGTACGTTTTTCTAAATCATTAGATTTAATGAAGATTTTTTTGATCGCAGCCCGTGCAACTCTTTCTCTCCTAGATATTGCTCTCTAATTCCATTATTCATGTGCTTAAAGTTTGAAGATCGAGTTCTTACAGAATTTTACTCGTGGGAGTTGCTCCGAATTTCGGTTGTAAATCAAAAATTTACTATATTTGTTTTTATTTATAGAATCATTTCAAAGTGTAAATTGAATTTGAAAGATATTGGAAGCAAAGACTTTATTAAAAAGATCACAGAGTTTATAGACAAATGCGATATCAATGAGCTAACGGATACTTTTAATATACCAAAAGAAAGGGTAAGCATTTATTTTCGAATTGTCTAAAGCTAATTTTCAAAAAAATATCGTTTCACATTAACAGTTGGAAATAGTTTTTCAAGCCTTGCAGCGGGAATTATTTAAAGATTATCGTTCGGAATTCGATAAGAAACCATTATTTAAGCAAGGATTGACACGCATAACTGAATTATCGGTTGGGGATGTAGTAACGGGTAAGTTGGATGCAATACTGTTATTAAACAATATATCAAACATTTCCTGCCTGAAGCCCAGAAACAACATGCTGTAGAGTATAAAAAATATTTATTTTTAGTAAAACGCGGTGGTCAGATAAATGTTGATGAAAATTTGGACACTCTGGTATAAGGGACTTTCACAAGTTCAATTATCAAAAGCGATTATAAAACATATTTCAATATAACGTCATAGGTAGATAACACTTACTAAGTATATGTCCTATAAGAATATAACCCTTCTACATTAATCTGGATAGATTTGTTAGTTCTTTTTTGGTAAATTCATAATCTCTAGAAATAGGTAGAGAAACAAAATCAATCATATTAGTCTCCAAAATTTTTTAATGGATATTATTATTGGCACCTTCGATAAGTTGTCGTTATTTTCCGGGACATCGCCGAAGCAGTATCGATTTTGTGACAGCAGGTACCTTGGAGATACAAGCTCCACAAAGTAGTTACACGAAACACTCTGTGTACAAATTTTTCCTTATAAAACTTTTATTTTCGCGGGTTATCATGTTTTTAGGAATGGATGAATAAGTCGATGAGCATCGAAAACATCGAAATGTTAACAAAACATTATTTGGTTTACACTTTCAACACAAATCTTCCTCATAGGTCGCATATGGCAAGTAAACGTTTCTAACGTATACACAGTAAACTAGAGTAAAGAAAAACATTTTGATTTCGTTTTGTAATTGGATACAAGCCGTGTAAACGCGTGGACTTCTCGATAATGCGCATGAAAATTCGGTATTGTAGTTGGTAGTAACCAAAAAAATTGCTGTAATTACTTGATACGTTCAGTTTTGAAATTTTGCTCAAAAGTGGTCGATACCTCACCTATTCCCACTATACAAACGACATAGACCGGGTTGTTTTGGTAAATGTTCTGAAATTTTCAAGTCAATATAAGGTATACTTTCCAGACGATTAAGTACTATGTTACTGATTATTTCTTTTACTTTCCAACACACTTGAGATTAAGTCTCGATTTTAATATTTATTATACTTCACATTTTTAGTCCGATTTTACACATCTACTAACATAGGAGGCTAAACAAAACCTGTACTTCACAGTTCATAGGCGGCCAACTGAAACTTTTTAAACTCAAGGAAAATTGTAGTAATTTTTTATATTTGTTTGAGATGGAGGCGTCAGTACCTGCGATTTGTCTTAAGCGTATCATTTGCTTTCGGTACAGTAGTATTTGAAATACAAGGATATGTACGAGGAAAAAATAGTTTTATGTCTTGAACTTGTCCATCAGAAAGTCTTACCTGTAGTTGGCGAATTGAAGAGTAAATCACTCCATTAGGGGTCGTAAACGTTCCAAACACTTCGATCATCAATTGTCTTCTTCTCTTACTCAACGAAGAGCAAGATTTGCTTTTATTTTCGCGATTGTATACGATATCCACTCGTGTAGGTGTTCGTGGAAAAGTTGCTTAACTTAACGTTTCTCCATTGCTTGCACTGCACACTCAATACTCAATCAACTTATATATCCCGACTGAATGATGATAGCCTGCTATTGTTATTATTGAAAGATTTAGTGCGGATGAATTTATATTTAAAATGGGCGACTCCAATATCCAGCCCCTTTAGTTGAGGTTAGAAAAGTTAAAAAGCAAACTACCTAAGGCTTTCTCTAGATAAGGTTTTGAAACATTTTTTCAATCAATTAAATTAGCTTTCCATTTTGAAGTGTGTTTCGTGTTATAAGATTCGCTTCAAAATTTGAATAAAATTTTCGCTTATGCAAGTTTAAATTTAGTAAAATATATTCAAAAAAAAATTTTTCTTTCCAGGTGCTGTTACTAATTTAACACATTTTGGAGCGTTCGTTGATATCGGCGTCGAGTGCGACGGTTTAATACATGTTAGTAAAATGAACAATATGAAAGTGAATATTGGTGATCGCGTTGTAACTTCTATAGTACAAGTGGATAAACAACGTAAACGTATTGGATTACGTTTAGAAGAGATTGTAACGGAAACTGATACCTCATTTACATTAGTTTGAGTCTGAATTAGATACTTAAGAGTATGTAAGTATTTGAGTATTTAATTTTACATATATAAGTGCTGTTGAATATTTAAGAAATCTTATACGAGTTTCACTTTTCTAATGTAAAATGAAATCTTTATATAACTTTAATTTGGAGCAAAGATAAAAAGAGATTTTATATTTACTTTCTTATAACTGCCAAATTTATACACACATTTCTAATCCTTTTACAAGCTCAAAAAGTTCTATATTCTTTTAATCGGCGAACGATCCGGGCACAATTTCTACGAGTCTACCATTAATATTTTTGGAGATTGGTTCATTAGCATAAAAGTTGAGTTAAAAACAAATAACAAAATTATATTCAGTCCATTGATCAATCGTTTAATATTGATCAATAATACAGTAATCCACTCTATAACGCGGTAGATTGGTTCTGCGTATTCCCATATTACACGTTTTTACGATCTCGTATAAGTCGTTACGTATAAATGATTCATCAGATTTAACTTTTCTCGCTGCAATGAGTTTAAATCGAATATTAAGAGAAAACTGTGTTATGAACGAAATATATACGTTTTATTAAAATCAAACTAAACTAAGAGTATTTCAAATAAAACAACTTATGCAGATGAACTAAAAAAAAGAACAGTTAATTTCAAATAAACTAACAGTTTTATTACTTGTTTATTCACAGTCAGAACATTTTCTTTAAATAGAATGTTCAAAAGTTTTACCATTTCAATTTTTGATATTTTTTTTTTACTTAAAAGCACAAGTTCTTGTTCATCTGTGATGCTTATTAAAAGGGCTCTAAACAGATTTTGACTAGATCGCCGAAATTGGGGGGGGGGGGTTCAAAAGAGGAATTTGCCCTAAAGAATTTTTATAATAAGTATGTGAAGTAAGGTGGAAGTGTAGTGTAATGTGTAAACTTACTCCGCCAGTCAATAACAAACAAAGCGATTTAGTTAATAAACATTTTAATATAAGGAATAATCAATATGAATAATTAAAATGATGACATTTGTGTTTAAGACAAAAAAAAAAAAAATATATGAATTGAAATTTTAATATTAAATAACTAATTAAATTAACAATAATTCAACTCATCAACTCATCAAAGAGTCGTCAAATGTACATTCGTGTTACGTATTAAAAAGGCATTCTTATAATTTTAAAAGAAAATAATATAATTAAACAGATTAAAAGACTAGTAAGAGTAAAATCAAAATTAGGCCTTAGAGACAGTCAGAATCGTTCATTTAACAAACTGCATCGCGAGAGAGACGGTACATCTTTCTCGCCACAACATATATTCCTAATTGAGTTTTGTAGACTGGGAGATGATAAACAGTCAAATATGAGGTGGAATAAAGTCAGAGTCTGTGGTGTGGTTCTTTGAGTGCGATGAACTACACAGAGGGAGGTAACGATGTTTGCTTTCCCAAGCTGCAATATTTCACATTTACAGAGAATTCAGTTTTTTCCTGAATATAATTCACTTTTTTCTCACAGCTTTCTTCAACACAGCTTTCGTCAATTTTCTTCAATTGTAAATAATTATATTGAATAAAGTTTCGCTTTCTTGATAATCAAAGTAATAAAGTTGCTTGATCGAAAGTTGACATGTGGCGACATCACATGATTGCACGTAATATATCACGTTAAGAAAGTATTTGTAAACCCGGTAACCTCTTCAAATTCTCGTCGTCACTTTTTCCGTCTTTTATTATTTAACGTAAATCTTATAATTATATTATTGAATTTCTATTCTTTACCTTAATAATAAAACGAATATAAAGTTGACATTATATCTAAGTAAGTCGTTGGTGTTGTCATCTTCTATGTATTCAGGATTTAAACACATATAGATTTATTACGTACCCACACGGTATACTACAATAATTTTCTTCTTCCGTCTAAATTTCAGAATTTCATTTTTGAATAACCCTCGGTGAACTTAGTTTTCAAAGACTTTTTAGTTTTGTTTTCAAAACTTTAGCTTAAATAAGTATATAATTCATTTTCTTGTTCTAGTTTAATAAAGAGAGTTGCTGAGCTATGTTTAGGACCCTACGCTCTGCCTAAGAAAACGTCTGGTTGAGTTTAGTTAATTATGGGAGAAATAATCGACAAAGCATACATAAACAAATGTACATTAAAACCTTAAAAATTTATTATTATTATTATTGTGGTATCTACTATTGTTCTCGGTCTTCTGTGAAGAGCTTTTACCATATATTTGCATTTTTTTGGTTAAAGTACGGCTTGCGAAATGTCACAATCAGCACTTCAGGTGAGTCGGACCATTTAGTTTTATTTTTCCCATGAAATTTAATACAGATTCCTTGATTCCATTTTTTCGATAGCAAAAAATCGCCAGACATGCCAAAAACACGTCTAACCTTTACATCTGTCGAAAACAAACTGAAAATGCAAAATAACTGATAATGTCAACATATGATGAACACATGTACAACATAAAAAAAAAACATTCGAAAATTGATTGCTCACGAAATTTGAAAAATCACAATAATTTACTTACCTTTCACAAATTCAAACTTTTTTGGTCGACAATTTTCTGTTTTGTTTCAGTTTTATTCATTAATAAAATAATTTACGCTATTTGATCGCGAATTTTCTTTTAAATGTTGTATTCGTCGAGCTCCCCTTTGAGGCTTTAATTTTGGTAAAGTTGGTCGCGATTTTCGTATTTAAACTCTGTTGTTACATTCTCCCAGAGGCCTGGTATCTGGGACTGGTGTGGAGTTATAAATGAGTGCCGGTGTTGACGGCGGTGTTATATGTTGTGATACCTAGAAGGATTGTGTAGTCACAATGCATTTTTCCATGGGATTGGCTGGTTGTTTCTGGAATGCTTTGTCAGAACATTGGCGGGTTGGGATTCGCGCAAGATTGCCACTTGCGGTTGGATTGTTACCTACGTGTTTTCTTCGTACGTTATTTAGTTGACCTATTAAAGTAACGGTCTTGTCTTGTTAATTTTGCACATTACGTTGTTGGTGAATTTTGTTAGCATTGTTTGGAGAGTTTTGAAATTGGATCTCAATTTCTTACCTGTAAAATGGTTGATATTTGTACCGATCTTATTGGTGCATTCACGTTTTGATGTGGTATGTGAACTCAAGATGTTCTGCCTTTCTATTATCATTTATGTTTTTTGATAGCAAGTCTACAATTTTGCAAAATGATTCCATTTGACAGGGCAATGTTTTCATTTTTTCAACATTGAAAGACATGATTGAGAACAAATTCTTTAGCTGTTGTTCTTAGCGGTTTCCATTGTAGTATGTGTGTTTTTAAATTGTTCTATGAACTCTGGAATTTGATGGTCTTTGATGTCTACAGCTATGTCAAGAAAGGTTGTGTTTAGGTTGCCAATCTCTTTGACTTTTGTTTTAATTTTGTCCCTTTTGTAAGGTCTACGTGTTGTTTTCTTCAGCCTATGTTCAATTTTTATTAAAGCTTGGAGGGTTCGTATTAGCTGATCTTTATAAAATTAATTGCTGAGATATATAATACATATGTTGTATAGAAAAATATATGAGTCTTTAGTGCAGCGACTCATGCTGCAGTTCCAAGACTTTGCCTTTAACTATGCATATAATTGAAAATCTCTAGGCCATTTATTTATCTTCGCCAGAGTTTTCCTTTCTGAGGATTTCATGTAATGTGGCCTTATAACAGAGGGTACGTATTTTTGTGCGGCTTATAGACTAGTCTTTACGTACATGATAGTTTTAATCCATCTTGTTGTACATAAAAACTTCATAGGATAAAAGCAAAACATAGAATATCATGTCGATCGAACACCATGTTCGGTGGCGTTCTGTTGCAGACCCACTGTTGTTCGTTCGACTTGAATCGAAGTGAAGTTCTCGACAATGTTTCTAGCGTGTCTGGCATTGGTCACTACGCTTTCACCTCAATGTCTTTTATTGTAGGAGATAACGTAAACACTAATAACTGAGCCAGAGACGTCTGGTGTATGCTATGTGCGCTGTGGGATGTGTAAGGGCAAAGATATCTGTGTCAAATTTCACATCATAGGCGTCATTAGTGCTTCAGCTAGACATAGTTTTGTAGAACACAAAAATTATTTTTCCGATTTTTATAATGTGTGTGAGGGGATGATTTCTGGCATAATTACGGAATATGAGATTTGGATCTACGCATATGACCCGGAAATGGTCGATCAGTCGAGCGAATATTGTAGAAAAGGTCAACCAACCACTACCGGAAAAAACGTGCCAAAGATTTTCAAAAATCAAGACGTTGGTAATCGTTTTCTTCAATTATCGTGATATCGTCCACTATGTATTCCTCCGCCAGGCCAAATTGTTAACTAGAAATATTATTATGTCATTATTGTGCGTTTGAATCCAACGAAATAGATTTAAAAAAGAAACAATTAAATTGTAAACAATGTGTGTGTAAGCGTTAGTGTCTATTGCATTCAGATCTTTTCAATAATACACGTTTTTTATAATACCCTGCACCTCTTGTTCTACAAGGTATATTTTGCAACACCCGGAAGCACTTGAGATAGACCCATCGATTCCGGGTCACTTTCTGAATCGCTTTAAACTTGTCTATCCATCCGTATCCCGTCAATTCGTTTTTGTTTGTCAATGTTTTTTTATGCGCAACCTATAGGCAGCACTTTTTGAGATATTTTGAAGAAACGCGTGTTTCGGATCGGATTTCCCATATAACGTCTTAATTTCAAAAATTTTTATATAAATAATTGTAGAATGGTGTAGGATATTTAATGGTGAACGGTGGCCCACTATAGAATTTTTACTTGTTTTTAGTACGTTTTTTATCATTTATTTTTATTCATGTATTTGGAAGTATTTATTGTATTGAATACACACTTTTCTGTATGTATTAATATTTTATTTTTATAATATATTATTATAACATTTCAATTTTCATCTTCTTTTTTTTTTTTTTAATATAATTTTCTTGATGAATATTTTCAGTTTTGTTTGTTTTCATTTTGTATTTTTTATTTTTTGTTAAAACTAATGGGTTGGTTTATTTCCTTTTTTTTTTTTTTTGTTGTTGTTCTTTATGTGTAAATGCCTTAAATTTTTATAAATAAATGTATTTTTAATACATAACTATAATGTATGATTCTTAAAAAAAATTAATTCTAGTAATTATTAAATAGAAAAAAATACTTATACAAAATATAAACATAAATGGAGTGATGTTGAATGTCGCAAATTTTAATCATAAATTTGATATAAAATGCTTAGAAACGCTTTATCTTAGTTAAAAAAAAAAAAAAATACAAAAAATACAAAAAATAAAACATAGCTCCAATAATGAAAACGAAGAATATTTTTATATAAATTGTAAAAAATAAAGCAAAAAAATAATATAAGATAATTGCAAAATTTTTACATTTTTTTTTTAGAAAAGAAAAACGATTTTTTTTTTTTAAACTTTTTAATAAATTAGATCAGATATTTTTTTTTTTTTTGTTTAACTTTCAAAGACAGTCCTTCATAATGGAGTGCCTCTAGAGGAAATTTTCACG